AACAAATAGTAAAACTTTAAGGCATATTACTATTAATGTCATTGATATCATTTCTTCTTATTCAAAAGGTGATGTGAAACATAAGTGCATATTCTACACTTCTAGTATTATTAGGTCAAGAGAACACAATGATTTGAACTGATTACAGATTCAAGTAAATATTCACCTACATCTAACTATCCAAGTATAAGAAGTTTAAACGAATTGATTGTCCCAAGCAATACAAAATCTGATAAGTGCAATAAAAATACTCTATAGAGAGGCAAAGAGTAAAAAGTAAATGGAATAAGAAAAAAAATTAATTAAATGATCTGATACACTATCAATCAAACAAATACATTATGTGAAAATTCTAACTTAAAGAGGAAACGTTGATCCACATCAAGCTTGTAGAGACTTGAACATAAATTTGTTAAATTGGCAACAATGATTATAAATATTAATATGTTCTAAACTGGCAAGACAGAATACCTGCAAACCCAATTAGTTAATAACATTTAACGCTCAAGAATTAAATGAACTCAAACAATTTAAAACTAAACAATTCTTTCCAATTAAGAACTTTGAAAATAAAGCATAGATCAAGCATGAGTTTGAACTATAATTACATAAGCCCCAAGTGATGAATTGCCACCATTGACAAATTACAACCACGCAGAGATAAGATGACAATAACATAAGTAAGAGAGGAAAAGGTTGGGTTCAACCAAGCTAAGAAAAAAAATTCAAAAATAAAATAAAATATCAAATTATGATGATCACGCATAAGACAAGCCGTATTTATACTAGAAGTGATCCTTTCGGGTAAAGTTCGTATCCGACAGATTCACAAATGAACTATTTCTCCCTTACAGAACTCAACTCACAAAATTTAGAACTATGTGACCAATGTATCAACATTGATGTTCCCACTTGACTGAATCTGCTGTTATACCAAAATTCAGATACAAGATTCACACATTTACATCCAGTATATTAACCCATTGTAAATAATAGCCTAACAAAACGTATTGCTAGACTGTGAGATTCCTTGACCAGACCATCATAAACTTATTATACAATCCAATATGATCAAATTTCAATTAAAGTCTTCCACTACTCCACACAAGTGCATTTGCAGCCAAACAATGGATTAATAAATGAGAGGTTTTTCAAAGAGTGTGAAACACATACAAAAGCACTTGTCACTAAAGTTCAAAGAAACAAATAACTTTTAAGAAATATGATCTGTAATTGTGTAGATAGGAAAGGAACGCTAGCATAAAAATACAGAAAGTTGCCTACTCTCACACGAACAACATCTAGCGTTCTTAAGTCTAATCCACATAGAACCATACAAAAATGAAGCTACGTTGTTCAATATATATCATGAAATTGAAGTCATATTCAAAGTGTAAATTTTGCTTCTCCACCAAATTTAAAATATGCTGATAATCGATCATCCAAGCACGCTCACAATAAAAATATCATGCACACAAAAAACATATTTACATATACCAAATCACAAATCTCTCATTAAACGAATAAGAGGCAGAGAGTAGCATTCGTACCTGATGAAGATTGGAGCTTTTGGATCACATCAACAAATAACACGCAACCTAATCCTGAAACAACCGAAGAGGTAACAAGTTCAATGCACGAAGAGAAATTCCGAAGTGTATAACATGATTAGGGGAAAAAATTACCGACACACACTGAATCAGACAGTAAAACCTAGACTTAAACCACTAATCATATAGCTCCATTGATTTGGCTATAAGTATATGCTATAAAATCCAAACAAGGGAAACCCTAATATCCAAAACAGGGAAGTGAAAGCGAAGAGGATCAAAATCCCACCTTTTCAAGCTTCGGACGAACGAGAAGTGGTGTGAAAATATACGGATATGGAAAAATTAATCAGGATTACGAGAATTAATGCCACGAGAGATGGTGCTTAATTAAGGCTAATTCCGAATTGGAATCAAATTAATTTCACAATATTGTAATGGAAAAGGGCAAAAAAATAAAAAATTAGAAGCTGCAGTTCGTCGTCTACTTTACCTTCGCGAACAAAAAAAACCCTAGCTTTGACACAGTCCAATTCAGAAGCTCCTCCGCTCTCTCTCTCTCTCTCTCTCTCTCTCTCTCTCTCTCTCTCTCTCTTCTGTGTATGTGCTGTGCTTTCTCTCTCTAAGCTCGCAGGATTTGTATCTCTCTCACCCCTCCCTCTCTCACTCTCTCCTTCGTAAAACCCTCGCTTTGTTCTCTGTGAAGCTTTCTTTTCGAACCAGAGAGAGAAACGAGAGTCTACCGTTTCCTCTTGTTTTTTTTTCTTTTTCCAGAAATTCTGAATTTAATTTGTTTCGATTAATTTTTCGTTTTGTTTTTTTTATTTTCTCGTGCTCTCATCTACTTAGAGGAATTTTTTATTATAATCGGAATAGGATATTACGTGTTTTTATATAAGTATTAATAAATTTTATTTTTTAAATTATTAACATTTTAACACACATATCTTACTATTTGTATGATAACATGTAGTGTATCATCTCGTGTGACGGTCACACTGAAAAATCTCTCTTTAATTGGAACCGGGCGACACATATCTCACTATTTGTATAATAACATGTAGTGTATCATCTCGTGTGACGGTCACACTGAAAAATCTCTTTTTAATTGGAACCGGACGACATATACCTCACTATTTGTATAATAACATGTAGTGTATCATCTCGTGTGACGGTTACACTGAAAAATCTCTCTTTAATTGGAACCGGGCGACGAGCTCGACCAATGAAACGGTGACGTTTTGTTCGGATGGGGGAATGGAAAGGTGACAGGTGGATGCACCAAAAAGCAAAACTGTCCATTTCGTTGTGGGGCTTATGGGCTTTTCGCAGTGGGGTGGGACGTGGTCTAAACTAAGGCCTACGGGCTGAAAAGGAGAGAGGCTTATCCGTGTCACTTTCATGGGGTCCCGTCGCAGTCACGTGCGGCTCACGTACTCATGTGATCGAGTTTAGTGACATGATGGTTTGTAGTTTATCTTGTTTGTTTGTTAATTTAGGAAAGTGATTCTCTTCGGATTTCTTCTTCTTAATTCATCTAATTAGGAAATTTATGCCGTTAAAATTTGATCCAACGGCTACAAATAGGTAATCATTTTAGAAGTTATAATAACTTCAGCTGTTGAATCAAATTTCAACGGTACGGATCTCTTGATTTGGTGGATTAGGAAGAAGAGATCTGGAGATGATTCTTTTCCTTAATTTAGTTGCTTATACTATAGATAAGTAGAGGGGATTATAATTTGGCTTCAGGTGTAACATTGAGAAGAGAAATATTATTGACTTAAAACGTTTTTTCGGTAACAACGACTATGATTTTTCTTTTACATGTTGGGATATTGTTTGCTTCTTCGAAGTGGTAAAGTGCACTCTAAAACAACACTACCATTTTAAGCACCAACGCTTAAATGTGTTACATCCTCACTTTACGCATTGACGTTATAAGTCTTTTTGTAGTACAACAACTGTATGTTGTCTATATTAATTTCTCCAATATTACCAATTTTTTGCAATAGAAAAAAAATTAAGAACCTACGGACCAAAATTTTTAATTTAACCCTAAACGTAGACAAGATGACTACATATTTATTTAGAAAATAAACATTGACAACTTGCCAACAAATTTATTAGTGAATAAAAACGACAAAAAATTGGACTTTCGCCAAATGGCTTCGTTTGAAAGGATCACCATCACTTTGCACAGTGGTTAGCGAACCATTTTTATCATTACTAGTGGTGTTTATTAGCTTTTATTATCTTTGAGAATATGAATAAGCAAGTTTCACATACTAATTTCAAAACCTTGTTTTGGAGGAAGTTGTAGTAATAATTCATCAATTTTAATTTAATTGGAGCAATGGTTCATCAATTAAAAATTTATGACTATTAGTTCCTTAACTCATCAAAATGTGTAGATATGGTCATTTTCGTCAATTCCGTTAAAACTTCTATCAAAATAAGTTACGTGTCATGCACATGAGGCTGAATCAAGAGGCAATGTAGAAAACCAAATGAAAATTGTAGTAATGGTCCCTTAATTTTAACCTCATTGTAGTAATGGTTCTTTCAACATGAGTCACTTTGACATAATTATGATGAAGTTGACGAAAAGGACTATAGATGCATGTTTTAATGAGTTAAGGGACTAATGATCAAGAATTTTTAGTTGAGAGACCATTAATCCAATTGAATTGAAATAAAATGACCATTGCTAAAATCTTCTTTTTTTAATATTTTAATTTTTTATATAAAAAAGAGGCACATGTTGGAGGCTTCATCACAACAGTCCAAATGTCGAGAAGACTCACAAAGGCATTTCAGCTTCCTCCTAACCACCATCATGTGATTCACCAGCGCCAAATATTGAACTCAAAACATGTCGTGTGACATACAGATCTGAATCAAAAGCTCCGAAAGTACAAATAAAAAAACAAAACAAGAAAAAAAAAAACAACATATAAGAATGTGAATGTGAAGAATTCTTCGTACAACCAAATAATGACAATGCTGTTTGCACGTACAACCAAATAATGACAATGCGGTTTGCACTTAACTTTCAACATATTCACATGTCAAATTCAAAGAATTTCGTAGACGTGGACTCACGCATTTGCTACAGTAAAATAAAGATCTCTCCTAAAAAGTTCGCGTGGGAATAGCATTCAAGAGAGATTGTAAAAACAAAAATGAAGTGTTGATGACATTCATTTGTCATTAAACAGTTCTTCAAAGCCCCAGATCGGCCCATCGATCGATCAAAAGTCTCTCTCGATAGTAAGTTGTAACTAATTAGTAGTTAACAAAGGCAAATATCATAACAACTTAAGGTTTTTTGGTAAGATTTTCGATAAGAGTGCTTAACTACAGCACTTACATTAAGTGAGATCGCGTGAAGCTGAATGTGACTAAAATACAAAATATTTAATTTTTTTTTATTTTATAAAAATGTTATTAAATAACATGGTCAGACATGCATGTCGGAATATTTCTCGTATGATACGTAATGCAAGCATTTGCACAACACACCCTAAATTACAGAGGGGACCAAAACACACAACAGAAAAATGGGCCAGGTGCAAAATGAACACGTACTAACCTAACTAGGAAGATTTCTGTGGAGCAAACGCAAAAGAGAGATGCTACCCTGCGTTCTGTGCCTTTCTTCAACAGCACCTGATTTCTTCTTTCCACGCTGCAAATTGGTTTTATTAGCAATGCATCATTATATATCCACAGAGAGAGAGAGAGAGAGAGAGAGAGAGATTGGGTTTTACCTTTGGCTTCTCATCATCGTCAATGTCCAGAGCACTGAAATCCCTTAGTAATAAGGATGATGCAGGCAAAAGTCTCCTGTTTTTTTCCATATAAAAGGGTTCAGAAGAGAGCCATTCATTCAAATGCAGTAGTAGAGAAAAAAGATCGTAGAAGCACCTTTTCGGTTTCTCTGTTTTTGTAGAGATTTTAACACCCGGTTCACTGTCAGTAACATCAATGGCATCGCGCCCTTTAGTTGACACAAGGTCTTCCTTCGGTGATGTAGGAACATTTAATAACGTCTGTAAGAAAAAGGAAATGATTTTTTCAATAGCAGGTTGTTTTAGAATCCACACCACATTCAAAAGTGAACAAAGATCGATTTCCAAGTGAAAGTTATACAAGGAGACAATAGAGAACAAATAATGAGAGACTGCTAATAACTTTACCTGTGGCTTCTCAATCTCACCCTTCGCATCCAAAACAACGGAGTCCCTTGGTTCACTGTCAGGAATCTCAATAACGTCGCACCCTTTAGTTGACACAAGGTCTTCCTTCAGAGATGTTGGAAAGTTCAATAATTCCTAGATGAAACAGGAAAAATGATTGAGGTGCAAGTCCTATAAAAAGCTCATAGAAAACAAGTAAAACAAGAAAATGCTAAGAACTTTACCCAAGGCTTCTGAATCTCATCCTTCGCATCCAAAACGCGGGATTCTCTTGGTTTACTGTCTGGAATCTCAATAACATCGCACCCTTTAGTTGACACAAGGTCTACCTTCGGTGATGTTGGAAAGTTCAATAATTCCTAGAAGAAACAGAAAAACTCATTGAGGTGCAAGTTCTTTCAAAAGCTCATTGAGAACAAGTAAAAAAAGAGAGCGCTAAGAACTTTACCCGAGGTTTCTGAATCTCATCCTCAACATCCACCGCACTGAAATCCTTTGGTGATGGAGATGAAGAAGGCGAAGCTCTCCTGATTAGAACAATAAATATAGGCAAAAATTCAACCAAAAAGGTGCTTAATACAAAATCCTCTTAAGGAAATCAAGCAGGCGACCAAAATTTAAAATGATATAACACCCCCTAACCTTTCCGATTTCTCCAACTGTAAAGCTTGGCAAGAAGTATCAAGTCCACTCTCACAATCTAGCTGGCTAACAACATTATAATGTCCAGTAGAGAGGACACATTCTGATTTCTCCCACCGTATAGCTTGGCAAGAGGTATCAAGGCCACTCTCACAATCTAGCAGGTCAACACCATTACATTGTCCAGTCAAGGCAACCTCCTCCAAGTTCTCCGTCTGTAATGCTTGGCAAGAAGTATCGAGTGCACTCTCACCATCTAGCAGGTCAACAGCAATGCAATGTCCAGTAGAGGGGGCATCTTCCGATTTCTTCAATTGCATAGCTTGGCAAGAAGTATCAAGTCCACTCTCACAATCTAGCAGGTCAACACCATTACATTGTCCAGTAGAGGCAACCTCCACCAAGTTCTCCGTCTGTAATACTTGGCAAGAAGTATCAAGTGCACTCTCACCATCTAGCAGGTCAACAGAATTGTAAAGTCCAGTAGAGGGGACATCTTCCAATTTCTTCAACCGTATAGCTTGGGAAGAAGTATCAAGGCCACTCTCACAATCTAGCAGGTCAACACCATTACTTTGTCCAGTAGAGGCAACCTCCTCCAAGTTCTCCATCCGTAATGCTTGGCAAGAAGTATCGAGTGAACTTTCACCATCTAGCAGGTCAACAGCATTGCAATGTCCAGTAGAGGGGACATCTTCCGATTTCTTCAACTGTATAGCTTGGCAAGAAATATCAAGGCCACTCTCACAATCCAGCAGGTCAACACCATTACGTTGTCCAGCAAAGGCAACCTCCTCCAAGTTCTCCGTCCGTAATGCTTGGCAAAAAGTATCGAGTGCACTTTCACCATCTAGCAGGTCAACAGCATTGCAATGTCCAGTAGAGGGGACATCTTCCGATTTCGTCAACCGTATAGCTCGGCAAGAAGTATCAAGGCCACTCTCACAAGCTAGCAGGTCAACACCATTACTTTGTCCAGTCAAGGCAACCTCCTCCAAGTTCTCCGTCTGTAATGCTTGGCAAGAAGCATTGAGTAAACTCTCACCATCTACCAGGTCAACAGCATTGCAATGTCCAGTAGAGGGGGCATCTTCCGATTTCTTCAATTGCATAGCTTGGCAAGAAGTATCAAGTCCACTCTCACAATCTAGCAGGTCAACACCATTACATTGTCCAGTAGAGGCAACCTCCACCAAGTTCTCCGTCTGTAATACTTGGCAAGAAGTATCAAGTGCACTCTCACCATCTAGCAGGTCAACAGCATTGCAATATCCATTTAAGGAAATATCTTTTGATGATTCCTATTTAACAGGGAAAAGAACCACGTGCAATTATTCACACTAGTTAACAAGAGCCTTATGTAAAGAAGAGGTAAAAAGAATCCTATAGAGTGGAGCCATTTTTCATGACAGTGATGATGTAAAACAAAAGTTTAGAAAAAAACGATTGGCTGGAAGTATGTCTGAGCACAATGAAAAAGCTTGAAAACGTACAGACAAGATAAACATCATTGGAAGAAAAATAAGATTCAAAGAATCACAAAAATTCAAAATATAGTTCAAGAGTCTAACCTTATGCCCCTCACTAAGCAAGTCGTCCAGTTCAACAGAAGAGCAGCTATCCTTTCTATGCATGGCAAGTGACTGATAAGAGTCCACTATAAAACCTGAAAACCTTAAACTTACAAACTCAAGCTAGAAACACTGAGGTAATGATACCTAGTAGGCAAAAGAATATCAGACTGACCCAAAACCAAGATTTAAGAGGTTCTTGTGTTTTGTGGTCAAAGTCCACAGCACTACTTACTGGTTAAGAAGCTACAACTACAAAGTACAAATCATAGTAAAAGCTACAGGTACAACATGATATGCAAATGTAAACTATTGAACTCTTCAAGTCTAACCTGCTACATCCACACTTAAATAACTATCCTCCAGTCTGACAGATATAGACTCACACAGATCTGTGGCACTATGTTCACTGCCGGAAACTCTCTCACATGTCTGCGTTATATAGCATGTAACAGCTACGTTAAATTCCAATTCATCTAAAATGAAAATCACTCTATACGATAAGATTAAAATCTTCTTTCTTGATAGTTCTTACCTGATGATCTTGCTGATTTGGGTTTTCAAGTTCAAGGCATAAAGTACTCACCTCCCCAACATCCAAACTTTTCACCTAGTATATCAGGAAGGTAATACCACTCAGCGTAAGCAAATTCATTAAAGATAAGACTACTAACCAAGTCAAACATGAAACCAAACTCTAAGACGTAGATAATAGTTGAGCAAGACAAAATATGTCAAACCTCATAAAGATTGCTAGATTCTTGACCACCCACTCCGGACAAGCTGACCTCAACTGCTTCTCTGTTGGAACATGAACAGCAGGACTGGACATCCTTGAGCTCCTTTTCAAGCTCAAGACATCTTGTATGTTCAGTCATGAGGTTTTGTCTGAGATGTTGGATTTCGTCATCTGCCACCTACTTACAATTAGAGTTGATGAGTATACTTTTTGGCCAATACAAATGAGTATATGGAGCTAGTTAATTAACTTCAAAAATCTTGTGTGTTTCAAAACAAGAAGATATCACTTTCCAAAAACTTAAAAACTCTTCATTACCTTGAGTTTTTCTTTATACTGCTTCAAAACATTCCATATAGCTTTGGAAAAACTCTGCATTATCCGATGGTTTCTCTCTCCCTGATAGGAGTCAACGCAACCTGATTTTGTAAATGCACAGAGCAGAAACTAAGCAAATTATATAAGGAATCCTGGCGGTTGGAATAAGAAAAAGAAAGTGGGTAAGTCCATCTAAGTTACCACTGCTTTTTACAGAACCTTCCTTGGATAGTGCATTTTCAGCTTCAATGCTTTTGCGTTCTTCAATCTGAAATCAACCAGAAAATAGAAGTGTTGAAGATATGCTTTAGGTTTTCTTTCAAAATAATCCAATAGTGATACAGACACTTGGGAACTATAATACATGTCATAGTTGCTTCCAATTATTCCAATTAAGCTACAGCATAGATACAACAACAACAACAACAAAGCCTTTTCCCACTAAGTGGGGTCGGCTATATGAATCCTAGAACGCCATTGCGCTCGGTTTTGTGTCATGTCCTCCGTTAGATCCAAGTACTCTAAGTCTTTTCTTAGAGTCTCTTCCAAAGTTTTCCTAGGTCTTCCTCTACCCCTTCGGCCCTGGACCTCTGTCCCGTAGTCACATCTTCGAACCGGAGCGTCAGTCGGCCTTCTTTGCACATGTCCAAATCACCGGAGCCGATTTTCTCTCATCTTTCCTACAATTTCGGCTACTCCTACTTTACCTCGGATATCCTCATTCCCAATCTTATCATTTCTCTCGTGTGCCCACACCTCCCACGAAGCATCCTCATCTCCATCTCCGCTACACCCATTTTGTGTACGTGTTGATGCTTCACCACCCAACATTTTGTGCCATACAACATCGATGGCCTTATTGTCGTCCTATAAAATTTTCCCTTGAGCTTCAGTGGCCTACGACGGTCACACAACACGCCGGATGCACTCTTTCCATCCAGCTCGTATTCTATGGTTGAGATCTCCATCTAATTCTCCGTTCTCTTGCAAGATAGATCCTAGGTAGCGAAAACGGTCGCTTTTTTTGTGATCTTCGCTAGATTGCTCCGGTCATTAGTGTGGATAAGTATATAAATGAATAGAGATAGGAAAGCAAACACAAGATGTACGTGGTTCACCCAGATTGGCTACGTCCACGGAATAGAAGAGTTCTCATTAATTGTGAAGGGTTTACACAAGTACATAGGTTCAAGCTCTCCTTTAGTGAGTACAAGTGAAAGATTTAGTACAAATGACATTAGGAAATATTGTGGGAGAATGATCTCGTAATCACGAAACTTCTAAGTATCGGAGTGTGGTGTCGTCTTGACTTGCCTTATCTGTCTCATAGGTAGATGTGGCATCTTCTCTGGAAGTACTCTTCCTCCATCCAGGGGTGGTATCTTTAACTGGTGGAGATGCACAAGGTAATGTATCAATTTCACTTGAAGCTTACTTGTAGTTTCAGGCTTGGTCAAGCGCGATACAAACCATGTAGTAGGAGTCCCCCAAGTCGCCGAGTTAGGGGGTCTGCTGAAAGAGGTGACAGACAAGGTAAGCAATCAGAGCTCCGACTGATTGTTCACCTTCTCCCCATCTTGCAGCAGCATGAAGGATAAAGAGAAGAAAAATGAGAAGAGATGATATGAGATACTTTTGCTTTTGAAGAAGTAACTTTCCACAGGCTTATTCTTGAACTGAGCTGGAGGGTTTTCTTGTTTCCTCCAGAGTATTAAGGCCGACTGAAGAATTTGAGGGTCAAAACAAGTCCATCAAATCTAGAGTACGTTCCACCCTGCTGATATGGGATACTTTTGCTTTTGACAGAGTAATGGATGTATCGGCACGTGTGCTGTTACGCTTGTCTCCACATGCTTCCTTGTATCCTTCGCACTTGCCCTATCTGTTCCTCAAGCAGATGCGGAATCTTCCCTGGAAACATAAGATGTTGAAGATGAGTACTCGAGAGCAATGCCAGGTAAGTAATCAGGTAAGGGGTTCCAGGCAGTCAGTTCCTGGCTGGAAGCTTGATTCCAAGTGTTGACTGATTGCTCTCTTTCTCCTTGTCTTGCAGGTAAAAAACAAGGCCAAAAGAAAAGACAGGGAAAAAGCATGATATGGGATACTCTTGCTTTTAACCCTGATGATATGAGATATTCTTGCTCTAGTATATAGCTTGTTTGCAGAGGTATTATCGGGGGGAAAGAAAGCTAAATATTTTGAAAGGCTTCGTTGGGAGTGCCCTCTTAGATATGATGAAGGGTTGAGCATTTTTGCAGGTCTGCCTGTCCGTTGGGGATGGAGGTCGACATATATAGGAGTCTCCCTAACAACAAGTAGTAATGCTATTCCTTTACCCTGCTTGGTCATAGCACGGTAGTGGGAGCTGCCAGTTTCACATGTTTTAACTTTGTCAGAGCACTTTGAAAAAGGTGGTCTGTGGTATCTGGCTCTCGAGATTCGGAGAACGATGCCTCTTTCGATTTTTGAGAAAGCAATCATGTTGGGGGTCTGACTCTCGAGATTCGGAGAGCAGTGTCTCTTTCGATTTTTGAGGAAGTAATCATGTTGGGAGTCTGGCTCTCGAGATTCGGAGGGCGGTGCCTCTTCGATTTTGGAGCAAGCAATCTTGTTGGGAGTGTTGTCTCGAATGTGAGTAAAGGTTGGGCATGTTTGCTAGTCTACCTTGCCACGAAGCACAAAGGTTGACACACAGGGACTTTCCAATTATCCAGCAATGGTACTGTTCCTTTACCCTCTCTTCGATTTTGAGAAAGTAGTCATGTTGGGAGTCTGGCTCTCGAGATTCGGAGGACGGTGCCTCTTCGATTTTGGAGCAAGCAATCTTGTTGGGAGTGTTTTCTCGAATGTGAGTAAAGGTTGGGCATGTTTGCTAGTCTACCTTGCCACGAAGCACAGAGGTTGACACACAGGGACTTTCCAATTATCCAGCAGTGGTACTGTTCCTTTACCCTTGTGGGTAATAATATGGTAGCTAGACCTTCAAAATTTATGTGTCTAAACTTTTGTTAGTGCTGTTTCTTTGCTATTCTTTTACCTTTCTTGGTCAGAGCGATGTAGTGGGAGCTGCAAGCTTCACGTGCTCAACTTTGGCAGATAACTTTGGCAAAGTTATCTGTGGTACCCATGAGCTATTGTTGCGTGTGGGAAGTGGGTGATTGAACAGTAAGATTCATGTGCTTTCTACTTCACCAGAAGTCTTCGACAGAATGCCCATAATTTCTGCAAAGCTGAGTGTGCGTGTGACAGGTGCTGACAAGGCTAGAAAAGTAGGTGCCTCTTCGATTTCTGAGATCAGCCCCTCGTGGTCTCTGAGCAGCCCAGCTTTTGAGAAAGCGAGCGCCTCTTCGATTGATTCGGAGAACGATGCCTCATCGATTTTTGAGAAAGCAATCATGTGGGTCTGGCGTGCCTCTTCGATTTTGGAGCAAGCAATCTTGTTGGGAGTGTTTTCTCGAATGTGAGTAAAGGTTGGGCATGTTTGCTAGTCTACCTACTACCTTGCCACGAAGCACAGAGGTTGACACACAGGGACTTTCCAATTATCCAGCAATGGTACTGTTCCTTTACCCTCTCTTCGATTTTTAAGAAAGTAGTCATGTTGGGAGTCTGGCTCTCGAGATTCGGAGGACGGTGCCTCTTCGATTTTTGGAGCAAGCAATCTTATTGGGAGTGTTTTCTCGAATGTGAGTAAAGGTTGGGCATGTTTGCTAGTCTACCTTGCCACGAAGCACAGAGGTTGACACACAGGGACTTTCCAATTATCCAGCAGTGGTATTGTTCCTTTACCCTTGTGGGTAATAATATGGTAGCTAGACCTTCAAAATTTATGGGTCTAAACTTTGTTAGTGTTGTTTCTTTGCTATTCTTTTACCCTTCTTGGTCAGAGCGATGTAGTGGGAGCTGCAAGCTTCACGTGATCAACTTTGGTAGAGAACTTTGGCAAAGTTATCTGTGGTACCCATGAGCTATTGTTGCGTGTGGGAAGTGGGTGATTGAACAGTAAGATTCATGTGTTTTCTACTTCCCCAGAAGTCTTTGACAGAATGCCCATAATTTCCGCAAAGCTGAGTGTGCGTGTGACAGGTGCTGACAATGCTGGAAAAGTAGGTGCCTCTTCGATTTCTGAGAGCGGCCCTCGTGGTCTCTGGGGAGCCCAGCTTTTGAGAAAGCGAGCGCATCTTCGATTTCTGAGATCGGCCTTCGTGGTCTTTGAGCAGCCCAACTTTTGAGAAAGCAAACGCCTCTTCGATTTCTGAGATCAACCCTCGTGATCTCTAAGCAGCCCAGCTTTTGAGAAAGCAAACGCCTCTTCGATTTCTGAGCAGGCGCCTCTTCGATTTCTGAAGCTCCGTCGAGTGCAGATTTTTATAGGGGCTGGCATTAAGTTTCAAATCACACTTGAATCTCCACCAGTAGAAGCTTCATTCTTGCACTTCTAAGATCTTGATTTGTCCGACCTCTTCTCTCTCTCTCAACACCTTTGAAAATGTCTGGCCCCTCTGACCGTCGTTTTGACTTGAACCTTGTTGAAGTGGCAGCCCCGCCTTCTCCAGACAACATATGGCGCCCATCCTTCGTCTCCCTTACTGGTCCTCTTACCGTTGGGGATTCCGTGATGAAGAATGATATGACCGCTGCGGTGGTGGCCAGGAACCTTCTCACTCCCAAAGATAACAGACTACTTTCCAAACGGTCTGATGAGTTAGCTGTTAAGGATTCGCTGGCTCTCAGTGTTCAGTGTGCAGGTTCTGTGTCTAATATGGCCCAACGCCTATTTGCTCGAACCCGCCAAGTTGAATCATTGGCGGCTGAAGTTATGAGTCTCAAACAGGAGATTAGAGGGCTCAAGCATGAGAATAAACAGTTGCACCGGCTCGCACATGACTATGCTACAAACATGAAGAGGAAGCTTGACCAGATGAAGGAAACTGATGGTCAGGTTTTACTTGATCATCAGAGATTTGTGGGTTTGTTCCAAAGGCATTTATTGCCTTCGTCTTCTGGGGCTGTACCGCGTAATGAAGCTCCAAATGATCAACCTCTGATGCCTCCTCCTTCTAGGGTTCTGTCCAGTACTGAGGCTCCAAATGATCCCCCTCCGGTGCCTTCTCTTTCTGGGGCTCTACCGACTGCTGAGACTTCTCCTAAGCAACCTTTGTGAAGGCTCCCTCTTGTGTGTTTATTTTGACTCATGTATATGTACATATTTGTAGCTTATCGGGGATATCAATAAATAAGAAATTTTTGGAAACACTCACACCAAATACCGAAATAATCACAACACCCAATGTGTACATAATATTCATCCATAAATTTTTGCAGAAGTTTGGGAACATGCTTAGCATGGATACAATGATACAAACACTGATCAGAAACAAAGTCAAAATGGAAACGCTAATCCCATTAAAAATAATTTCAGTGAAGAAGCATCTAGTATTGTCTTCATATTTACAACGGTGCAGTCAAACAAAGTTTCAAGAAAGTAAAAGTTAGCAAGCTTAAAAGAGAAAGTGAAATGATCTTATGTTACTCTTCAAATAGGCATACTGACAAAATAACATCTGAAGCCAGCAATGAAATTGAGACACAAATGAAATAATAATATAACTTATAAGGTATTGAAAGAATAATTTAACCCAGAAAGACATACCGTGCAAGCATCGGGATCGGTAACTTTCATTTTTTTGCGCTGCTCAGTTCTAGACAAAGCTTGGAAATGCCTTTTGGGGTATGAGATATTTGATGGTTCTTCAACATAATTATACCTGAAATACATAGTACAAAGCTGTTAACACTTCATACAGCAAGAAATAGTTCAAATATAATGTGCAATTTTTGGGTTGGGGGTGTGGAATTGTACTTGATTTCCATAAAAGGTGAGGCTTGTCTTAGCACGTAAGATGTATCACGATAATCCTCTTCTCCTGATTTGACTGTTAAATCTGCGAGTTTAAGAAAGAAAGTGCAAACGGCAACAGAACCGCAAGAAAATGAACATATATTTTGAATATTCCAACTCATCAAAAGTTTTTTAACAAACTCCATTGGTTAGCCAATTTTGGAAATAAGACGGCATACCAATGCCATCCTCTTCTTGCCTTCCAAATAATCTCGCAGATACTTGGTTAACTGTTTGAAGAGAAAAAAAATCACATTAGTAACATTTGATCCTAAATTGTATTAAAGTTATCAAAAGACCTCCAAAAAAAAACCAACCCTGGCAATATTTCATGCCAATTCGAATCTTTGTATTAGGTACTTAAACAAAAGATTGTTTCTCGTCAATAGATCAGATAACTAAGATGCATGATGAGCATACATACATCTCAGTAGGCCATTCCGATATACTATGTACATAAATCAGTAAAGCAAAACATATTACATATTTTCAATAGGTAGAGTAAAACATTACCAAAGAGTTCTGAAAGTGTTTCTGCAATGGCTTCTTAGGGTTCTTCTGATGCTCGAGTAACGACTAAATCCACAAAAAAGAAAGGAAAATGACTATAGACACATACACGCATAGGGGGAGAGGGAGAGAGAGAGAGAGAGAGCTACAACAGCAAATAAGGGGACTTCAAATTTGTAAAAAAATGAGCAAGCAACAATCACCCAAGAAAAATGGTGAACAAACATAAAATGCAAATGAATAATGAAGTCTAGAAAACCAACTCAAGGCAACATACTCTCAAGCACAAGCCTATAACCATTGACGTATTGTTGATGAAATTACTTTCGAGCAATCTGACTCCCTGAAAATTAAAAGAAAAAGACCAAACCATAAACAAAATCATTATTCAAAATCAAGACTACACTTGTGCAAAAAAATCTGTCATTAATTGAAGTATCCCAAAAATACTAATAGTATAGATCCGGCGAGATGGTGGTAACAATTATAGAGCAAATATCATACTCTGAGGGATGCATTGAACATCCAAAATTGAACAAACTTCAACATTTAAAAAACAGCCACTTCAAAGAGAATAATTCAGTCACATATGTGAAACCTGATTTCCAGTTCTTTTTTCTCTTTCCGCTCCAGCAAGATCAACAATAGTGAGGACACCATCATTTGCATTTGCTTGATTATTCTCGTCTCCATTACACTTGTCAGCAACAGCGCGAATGTTTATAATACACTGTGACCGGCTAGAAGCATATAAAAAATGTAGCCATAATTCTTACGTGATCGTAAAATTCAGACATTGTAAGAAACAATGTAGAAAATGGATGAAACAAAGAATACATAAGTTCATCAATGACTTTCACACACCTTGATTGGCTATTTGCATTTGTCATTCCCGTTGCACGCTTTAGCATTGCCTGAGCAATTAACGACTCTGCCTGTCTAGCATCAGAAATGGGTATCTGTTTACAGAAATGGAATAGGTGCTAGTTATTTCTTATATCCAACCACATAATCAAATTAAACTCAAGGATAGTACTCAACCTCTTGCAAGCCTCTTAGGGTTGATTGTTGCATGCTTAAATCTCCGCCATTAGGAGATAAGTCAAATAGCCTTTCTCCTTTGCCTCGTTCAGAGCTTATCTCGAAGATCGATATGAAAAATGATCTGTGAAGAGTGAATGAAGACATCATACGATATAAGTTGAGTAACAAGTCCAGCAACTAAATCTAAAGACTAAAATCACATGTTGACATTGCCCAATACCTCGAAGACTCAGAAATGCTCCCTGAAGTCTGATTGAAGATATGTTGAAGAGCAAGCGGAACCATACCCGGCTGCCTGGGGCACCCAAACACCGTATGCGTCTTACCCGAGCCACTAGGCCCCAATGCAGCCAGCATCCCACTCTTACCCCTCAGAAATTCTTCTACTAAAGGCTTCACCATCTTATCATACACCTCTTCCTATCAACAACAACACAAATTCGCCAAAAGGAAAGAAATTTATACATGATTATTATAAAAGAACAATTTGAAATCATACTTTCCACTGAATTTTCCAGCATTTTCTCTGCAACCAAACATAACACAAACGAAACTAACCTGAGAGGAATCAGAGGAGAAGACGTGGGAAAACCCCTCATAAACCTCAGTCTTCGTGCGGTTAGATTCCTGCAGTGCTAGTGGCGGCGATAGCGTCACTGAATGAGAAGTATTCACCTTTATACAGACGTCTTCCTTTATCTTTCTGTTGATCTGCGGCGATCGTCCGGCCGCCGACTTCTTCTTCGCCGGGTTTTGGGGCCAAGCATTTTTTAATCTCGGCTTCGGATTCTGATCCGCCCCGAAGCCGCCTGTTTTGTCCCCAAGCTTGCACGGCACAAGGGGCCGAATCCTCAGAAAAACCCTAAGGTTTTCGGCCACAGGGTTCGTTTTAGCAACGTCCATGGAGAGGATTTCTTGGGTTGGGAAAGATCGTACTCCGGGCGCAATTGAAGACGGAATTTGCATTTCTCGAGCCGCTGTGGCGGGCGTTGGCGTTGGCCTGGCCCTCCGGTGAGGGTTACGGCGAACCGTCACCGTGTTTGGACCCGGTGCTGGGCTGTTGATCTCCATACTCAATCAGTGAGTGTGTGCGGTGTCGCTTCGTCTCTGCTCTCAACGTCACGCCTTTTTTTTTTTTCCGTTTGCGTTTTAGCGCTAAAATGGAGCGATGCGGCTATTTCAAGTTTTGAACTTTGCTTTCGAAAAGGGAACGCAATATTAGAGCACCTCCACCCATGGAGTCCTCCTGGCAATCCACTATTCAATTCACCTTATTAAACAGTAACTGCCTTAAATGAATAGTAATTACCATTAATAAACAGTAATTGTCATTTACATCTCCACCCTTGGAACCCTCTCCCCTGGCAATAAGCAATAAAAATAATAGTTTTTTATGTTTGTTTAAATAATAAAAAATTACAAAAGCTATCTCTCTCTCTCTCACACACAAAAAAAATAAAAAAATACAAAACCCTCGGGCCACAGGCCCGTCGACTCCCCACCCCCCCTTCGCTCGACCTCCCACCCTCACTCGGGCCCTTCCCCGTTGGATTTGCTCCCACCGGCCCGAGGGCCCTTTCTCCTCGCCTGACGCCCGAGCAACCAGCAAGGCTGGAGTTGCTCTTATTATAAATGTTTTAATTATAAATTGGATTTTTGTCCCTCCGAAAAGTTTTATGTTCGAATTCGTAAAAAATAAAAAAATTATAAAAAATTATAAAAGAAAAGTTGAAGCAACATGTCACTTAAATTAACAAATGGTTGTAATTTATTATCTACCATTTTTTTAGAGTAAATTATAGTCGTGGTTTTTAACTTTAACTTAATTAGAACAATAGCCCTTCAACTAAAAATCAATTAACATTGATCCCTCAACTCATCAAAACGTGCCGTTATGGTCCCTTAACTAAAAATTAATTATCATTGGTCCCTCAACTTTAATCCAACTGGAAAAATTGTCTCTCAATTTTAATCCAATTGGAGCAATGGTCCCTCAACTTTAACTCAATTAAAGCAATGGTCCTTCCAACATAACTCATTTTGACAAAATTCTGACAAAGTTGATGAAAACGACTATATCTACATGTTTTGATGAGTTGAAAGACCCTAATTATAGCAATGGTTATTCCAACATAACTTATTTTGACAAAATTCTGACCAAAATGACCATAGCTACACATTTTGATGAGTTGAGGGACCAATGATAATGGGTTTTTAGTTGAGAGACCATTGCTTTAATTTGATTAAAGTTGATAAACCATTGCTACAATTTACTCTTTTTTTAACAAAAATTTATTATTTACCTTTAACTCAATTAAATTATTTTTTTTAAGTACATGTCTCTTTAAAATCTAATAGCGATAATTCTTGAACAAAATTAATAGAGCATTATTCATTCAAGTGACACATTAAACCATTTTTTATTTAAACGTAAAAATTATAACCCGTGTAAAAATTTAGGTCTATTTTCCAATCTTGTTGCTCTTAAGTATTTGTTGTCGAAGAAGAATATCAAGATAAGACTACTTTGATTGATACTTTTGCTCCGAGAGTTTGTTTTCAAAATCGCTGAGCCAAAAACAATTTGCTAATTTTTTTTTATTTTAAAAATGGACCAGCTAGTGATTTTAGTACGGCAGTCTATCGGGACTCTGCTAATTTGAGAGAGAATATAATTTCTATTGCAGGGAGCCTTGCTCTATACGTAATGGCCTTTGGATCGCTAGTTAGCAGAGGCTTCAGAAGGATTCTGTTTTTAAGGAGACTCTGCGATTGAAGACTGTTTGTACCATACTTGACCAATCCCGAAACTACCGAGCACCGGCCAACGCTATACTGTCAAGGACCCAGAAGAGTTCCCCTCCGACCAGGAGGCCAATCACTACTCGACACGTGTCAAGATTAGAAGCCAATCAGAGCGCAGCACGTGTCGACATCAAGAACCAATCATAACATGACACATGTCAATGTGACAAAGCTACAAGTTTTTCTATAAATAGGGGTCATTCCCCCACAATATTGGCTAATGCCATTTTGGATTAAATCATTCACAAGAACTCACTAAATTGAGAGCTTGATCCTTTGTACTTGTGTAAGCCCTTCACTACTAATAAGAACTCCTCTACTCCGTGGACGTAGCCAATCTGGGTGAACCACGTACATCCTGTGTTTGCTTCTCTGTCTCTATTCATTTACGTACTTATCCTCACTAGTGACCGAAGCAACCAAGCGAAGGTCACAAAACCTGACACTTTCTGTTGTACCAAAGTCTTCGCTGATTTTGTGCATCAACATTTGGCGCCGTCTGTGGGAACAACACTTATTCCTACTCTCTTCAGCTGTGTCAAGCTGGTTTCTATCATTCGTACACTTTCTTTTGACCAGGCATCCCTTTCCAACATGGGAAGCGAAGGAAGCCACAGCACACAGAATGACACCCCCCTTGCACATAGTGCGAAACAACGAAAGAATGAAGGAAAACGAGTTCTTCTGCAAGCTAAAGTCGATGAGTTGGAAGCTCAGAACAACAAGATAGCAATGAGGAATGAGGTCCTCCAGGAGCAATATGAGAAGCTCTTCGAGACACTCCACGAAGCTAGGCAAGCTCAGACACGCGAGCTTGTTGCCCCCGTGGAAGTCAACCATCAACTGGGTGCCCTCCAACATGGAGGGTCACATGCATTCGACATAGATATCCCTGATAGGGAACAGATTACCCCTCGACTTGATAATCAACATGAGGCCTCTCTTAACCCAGTTGCTTCGACCCGAACCATGAGAAGTGGAGGGAGACACCTCTTTGCTGAAGGGGCAGAAGGATCGAAAGCCGTCTTTCGCGATTGTCGGGATTTCCTGAAGCAACGTCGAGAGAATTTCATCCATATAAGCTCAAAGATCAATGACCCAAGGATTTCTGAGAGACTCGGTCCCCTGCCACGGCCCGAGCCGACCACCAATTTGGGGAAGGGGCAACAAGTCCTAGAGAGACATGAGGGTACAGGGGACTCAGAGGTGTTCCGACAGACATACCCTGGAAGCCAGTACAACGAGTCCAGGGAAAAATCACATGCCCTTGATCAAACCTTCCTAATTCCAAGAGGAGATGGAGATTTACGAAAGAAAGCTCCAGTGGCACATAACTCCGCTCAGGACCCCCTTGTCCTACAACTTCTTGAGGAAGTAAACAAGTTGAAGGCTGAACGTCAGGCTGAAATACCTGACTGGAACCAACCCAGGCCTGGCCCTCTTACAAGGAGGATCCTCAACACCCCCCTTCAAGCAAAGACAAAGCAAAAAGCTTGGCTTGCAACTTTATACTGGAAAAGAGGACCCGATTGAGCACCTTAACCTCTTTGAGTCCACCATGGCATACCGGATGCACACCGACGAAGAGCGATGTCTTCTCTTCCCCTCCACCCTCTCTGGCGGAGCTCTAAATTGGTATTGTCGTCTTACACCTGAGACGGTAGACTCATTTGAGGAATTGAGGAAACTATTTGTTTCCCAACACATTTTCCAAACCGATCGCTTGCACTCTGCAGATGACCTGTACACTATCCGCCAGAAGCCAGACGAGTCATTACGTATGTATGCTGGCCGCTTCAGCCATGAATACTCCCGGTGTGCCGAGGCAGACGACAAGACTGCCCTCAAAGCCTTCACGGCAGGCCTACGTGATTGTTTCTTTAAATATACATGATCAATGCCAATACTTGGAAGACTTACTCTGAGGTGATGGCGCAGGCTTATAACCATGCCTCCGCCGAGGCAAAGACATATCAGGAGAAACCCCCTACAACCATCCTTTATCAACAAGTGGGAGGTGGAAGCCAGACTCACCTAAATGAGAAGACCTCGACTTTCCAAACAGCAGTGGCACCTCCCCATGCCTTGCATAATGCTTCGCCGAATCAACAGACATATCAATTTCAAGGCAAGAGGAAGGATTTCCATCCTCACCACTCTCATTTTCAGTAAAAAGAGTAAGGGACACTATCCCGATAACCAAGGGTATCGCCACAATAACGCTCGCCCCCAGGCAGTCAATGCAGTGGGTCAAACCCGCGTCAAGATACCCCCTACCCCAAGGTATGAGACATACACGCCCTTGAATGCCACATGCGCGGCCATTTACCCCAGCATAGCTCACCTGATACCAAAGCCAAAGCCGAGGCACCCAGATTACACGCCCCCGAATAACGCGGGCATGTTTTGTTGCTACCATGAGCATAACGGCCATGATAGCGAGAAATGTATCATCCTCCGTGATCGTATTGAAGCTTTGGCACGAGAAGGAAAAATTGATCAATTCCTCCTTCACCCTCAAAGGGATAACCGTAACCAACGCCAGGTGAATGTCATATATTCCATAAGCGGCGGCACACCCATATCTGAATCTTCCAATAGGGCCATGAAAAACAGTGAACGAATTCTGAGGCCTGGTCACCAAGTGTTTCACGTGGAAGACATCAGGGGAGGGAAGTATCAAAAGCCTAACTGGGATCCGATATGTTTCTACCCTGAGGAAGAAAGAGGCATCATCTACCCTCATAACGACCCATTGATCGTGGAGGCTCACATAGCCAACTTTGATGTTCGACGAATCCTCGTAGACACAGGGGCTTCGGTCAATATCATGTTTGCCGAAGCTTTCAGGGCACTCAGTGTAGCTGAACACTTGCTCGATCGCTCGATTTCTCCTCTGATAAGCTTCTCCGGTGATATCGTGCAACCCTTAGGGAGCATACATTTACCCTTTACTATTGGTACAGGCCCTTACACGGCTACCATTACCACTAACTTCCTAGTGGTTGACTGCCCAACGGCATACAATGTCATCTTTGGGCGCACAGGCATCAATGATCTCAAGGCTATGGTATCCACGCATATGCTGTTGATGAAATTTCCAACCCCCCATGGCAACGGCTACATCAGAGGAGATCAGCTTAGTGCACGATCATGTTACAACACTTCAGTTAAGCAACAACACTTGCCCGGACCCAAGGAAACCCTGTCTGTACATGACCAAGTCACAAAGACCAGCCTAGATGAAGCGAACTTGGATCTTCCTG